TGACACAGTACATTTCGGGATTAAATTTTAAATCCACCACAGCAACACTACAGATAAATACCCCGGGGGTCTAGCTCAATGGTCGAATGAATGCCTACCATGTATGAAGATAAATAAACTTCATAAATATACTAAATCAACATTGTTTCTTCCCTTTCCCATCATGCTCCCTACCTGTAAGCTTCAATTTTTATGTCCAAAACAGACACCTCCAAGTCAGCTCCACCGTCAGTCACCATAATTTTGTTCCTGGACCCACCAACAGTCTGAGGGCACACCACCTCTTCAAACTATTTCCTGCCAGAGAGCCCAAGTATTTTAAACAATATCAACTTCCTTACCTTGACCTATCTTCGAACTCTGCTCACAGGACCCTCTTTCTCAAGGCTCTTTCCCTCCCCTCAGCCCAAGCCCTCCCAAGGCTTGCTTCTTAGGTCTTAGCTTCATGCTCTCCTGGACCACACTACATCAGGCAGGTCATTTCTATTATATTCTCTCAACCTACGTTTATTCCCTTTACAGTATGCATTCATCTTGCACTTAGCTGTTTCTTCCATAAAAATAAAATTTCCATGGTGAAGAAATACATCTGTCACGTATCCTTCCCAGAATCTACGCTGGGAGATAATCTTCTTAAAAGTATGTAAGTGAAAATTAAAACTTAAGAAACATTCCAGGGGGTAGGGGAAGGTGCTACAATCATGAATTTCAGCCAAGCAAAATAAATTTTAAAATAAATTATTGCCTAAAGGACATAAAACCCTGGCTTTAAAATCCCAGTTAATAATGCCTAAATGTTTAACCACTGAATTTATCTCCTCTGGGATATAAGCATGAGCTGGGTTGGTGGCACAAGCCTATAATCCCAGCACTGGAGGCTGAAGCAGGAGAACTGCACTTGGAAATCAGCTTGGACTCCGCAGGCAAATCCTGTCTCTTTATTAAAAAAAAAAAAAAAAAAAAAGCCATTAAATTATCTGTGAAAGCTTGACTACCACAAGGTTTTTCTTTTTTGTGTGGTACTGGGATTGAACCCCAAGTACCACTGAACTTTGAGCAATGAGATGTGATCAAAATATATGGTGAATGTTAAAATTTCAAGTAATTATTGTAAAGGACACATTGTTTTAATCCCTCTCCAAACAACCTCCCTCCTACTTTCAACACACTTATCTCCCTTTTCTTGCTGCTTTCTGAAGCAGCTCTGAAGTCCTCTTCTGTGTATTTGGTTGTGCTATCTGGGCTATCTTAATGCCTGAATTGCTTTAAAATATTTATTTTTAATAGTCATTTTGACTTTGAGGAAGAGCCAGGAGTCCCATAGTGCCAGATCCAGTGTGGAAGGTGGATGAGGATGCACCAATGTTTTTATGAGCCTGTCTTACCATTGGGTACACTCAGCAGCAGCATTCACCATCCTTGTAAAGACATGAAAAAGGACTTCCAGAACGGCTTCTCACAGTGGGATACATATGTTGGAAGCAAAGGGGAATAGTTTGAGGGGGATTAAAGGCAATGTGTCCTTTACTGTAATATTTTAAAAGATTTAAACCTTTACTATACATTTTCATCATCCTGAGGACTTTTTTTTTTTTAATTTTAATCTGAGACACAGACTCCTTAAATTGCCCGGGCTGTCTCAGCTTCCTGAGTAGCTGGAATTACATGTACAGCTGTGCACCATCACCACACAATCATTAGCTTTCTATAATACATCAAGGCGAGCGTGGTGGTGCATGCCTGTAATCCCAGCATTTCTGGCAGGCTGAGGCAGGAGGATCATTGCGAGTTTAAGACCAGCCTGGGCTACAAAGTGAGCTCAAGGCCAGCCTGAACTGCATGGCAAGACCCTGTCTCAGAAAGACAAAAAAACAAACAAACAAAAAAAAAAAACAAATATAATATGCCAAACCTGACCTAGGAATTTCAGGCTTGGAAATGACATATCAAAAGATGTGGTATATATAATAATAAAAAAAAAAAAGCAGGATATTCTGGGTGTGGTGGCCCACCCAAGTAAGACTGAGGAAGGAAGAGCACTGTGAGTTCCAGGTCAGCCTGGGATACAGTGAGTTCAAGGCCAGGCTGTCTCAAAAAAAAAAAAAAGCAAACCAAACCAAACCAAACCAAACCAAGAAAAGATTCAGTATAGCCCAGTGTGGTGGCATATGCCTGTTATTCCAGCTACTCCAGAGGCTGACACAGGAGGACTGCAAGTTTGAGCCTAGCTCAGTGATCCCTGGGTTTAATCCCCAGAACAACAACAACAACAACACCTACGCTACAACAACTCAGTACAACAAGATAAATCTAGCCAGGATCCAATTCAACCAGTGCTGTGATCCTCCAGGGAAAATGAAAAAAACAACCCCCCACCCCAAAAGAGCAACCAGTCTGGGGCAGAAGACATGGTCCTGAGGACAAAGAATTAAAGCTAAATGTGAGGGGTAGGGTTTGAGACACCCCCCTTTTTTGCTTTTTTTTTTTTTTTTTCCGGTACCAGGAATCGAACTCACGACCTTGCGCTTGCCAGGCAAGCACTGTGCCGCTGAGCTAAATCCCCAGCCCACCCCTCTCCTTTGAGACAGGGTCTTTGTAGTTTAGGTTGGCCTTGAACTATGTAGTACAGGTGGCCTTTTTTTTTTTTTTGAGACAGGGTCTCCCTGTGCAGTTCAGGCTGACCTTGAGATCACTTATGTAGCCTAGGTTGGCCTCGAACTCACAACGATCCTTCTGCCTCAGCCTCCCAAGTGCTTAGATCACAGGCATGCACCATCACGCCCGGCTCAGATGGCCTTGCATTCTCTGTGAACCTCCTGCCTCAGCCTCCCGAGTACTGCGATTACGTGCACCACCGTGCCCAGGGACTAGCAGCAACAAACAGGATTCACAGGTGGAGACAACAGCCCAAGCAAAGGTATAAATAGGTGAGGGTGGCTACCAGAAGAGGAGGCAGCCTAGTAGAGGCACACTGAAGGAGAGGAGACAAAAACAAGTTACATTTGGTATCTCAGAAGACACACATGGGATAATCTGGGGGGGATAATCTGGACTTGCGGATCGTGGGAAGCTACTACATACCCCTTTGCCCTCCTCTAGAAGGGGGATCAGTCCATTAATTCACTTCCTGAAACAGGAGTATTAACATACCTGTCACTTCAACGTGAGCACATGCCTTGCATATAGCATGGCTTAATAAAAGCCTGAAATTAATTACATAATTCACTTTCACAAATTAGAGTAATTTAGTTTTTAGTTTAACATATTACCAATCTCATTACAGTGGCTTCTAATTTTCTCCAACCTGGAATTACACTGCACTCTCAAAGTCGACTGCACCTACCAGTAGTTGTTAAGACCTGCAAGTTTCACCAATCAGATTCTTGGTGTTCTAGTACTTGATTACTTGATTCATAGTCACTTCACCCCCCTTTTTAAACTCCAGTTAACAAATAAATAAAATAAACTCCAGTTAGCTCACAACTGTTAATCTTAGTCATTGTACTGTTATGACTATTTCTGCGCTATCTCTACTTCACCGAAGCAACTCTTAGGCTTCCAACTGCTGTCCTTACTTATGGTAGCTTTATTCATTTGCTTACTTATTTTCTCGTGGTGCTGGGGATAGAACCCAGGGCCTTATGCATGCTAGCTAGGCAAGCATCCTATCACTGAATTACACAGCCCCTTCAGCTTTAATGTTTAAAGTTCAGAGTAAAACCTCATTAGCAAATCTATTAAGTAAAAAACAGCTTACCTTGAAAAGTCTACATCAATGCTGATTAATTAAATATTTTAAAAAAGAAACTAGGCAGTAAAATACCTTTTTTTTTTGGTTTTTCTCCGGTACCAGGAACCGAACTCACGACCTTGCGCATGCCAGGCAGGCGCTTTTGCCGCTGAGCTAAATCCCCAGCCCCAAAATACCTTTTATTTAAGCAATTCTAGGCCTGGGATGTAGCTCAGTGGTAGAATGACTGCCTAGCACTTGGTAGGCCTTGCAAAAATAAGAAATTTTGGTTCCTCACCACCTCAAAAACAAGTAATTTTTTTAAATCCCAGGTTATCTTTCAGCTCATATTTGGTATAATTTAAATAGAATTTTGTGAGAAAATATTCATTAAGCCAAAGCAAATAAAATAATCCATTTTACCTGGGAAAGAATGCTTGATGATCAGTGTCACTCTGGAGTCTTAATTTTATTTTTTTGGTATTAATTAAAAAATGTTAATAAGCCATTAGATAGACTTAATACAAAAAATATATCTGAAAACGAACTAGTATAAAATAATGATTAAATGCCACTGTGTCTTGGTAATTAACCAAATTTTATCTCTACCATTTTAATGGTCCATGGGGGAGGGGGAGATACAAATTTTCCTTAAAATATCCTAATTGAAGCCAATATATCTTTTTTTCTTGGTAATGAATGTATAGTTAAAGAGGTGAGAGGTGTCTGGCTGCTTCAAACTTGGCATCAGAATATCAATACTGTAAATAATTCTGATACTTCAGATAAAGGTTGTGTTTCTAAACGTTACATCATTTTCACCTGGCAACTGTTCCAAGTAGCGCTTAACCTGCAGTTGAGATATCTGCGTAAGAATCAAAAACCTCCAACGGTGTGCAAACTTGTGTGTACGTGAATTTTCGGGAATGGTGGGAGGAGACATGCCACGGCTATCTTTAGAGCCTCCAGCAAGTCTAATAATCCCAAAATGGGTTATTTAAAAAACAAAACAAAAAAACCGCAGCAACAAATCTCTGCCTTAGTATCGCGGCACGCTAAACTGACAAAAGAAAAAAGCGTGCATCTGAACTGTGCAATCACTGTTAAACAGGATCCTCGTATCCAGAGACCCAGATACTGACATAAACCAATCCTTCGGAATGCCTTCTGTTCCAGATCGAGGGAAATGGTTCATCCCACACTCTCAAGCCGGGTTTTGCACCGACCCCCGCCCGTCCCCTCCTCAGCGGTCGTGCAGTTTGCGCGTTACCTGGGCGCCGGCTCGATTAGGGTGGTGGTGTCTAGGTAGTGGATCTTGTAGAACTCCAGCAAGGCCGGCAAGTGGTCAAATTCCTGGTCTCCGATCTTAAAACGGCGGTTAGGCAGAGAGTTGATGATATAGTGGGAGACTCGCGAGTTCTCTGACACCGACAGCACGTAGTCCCCAGGGCAGGTGGAGGAGTCGCGGACCAGGAACATGCCATGGCGCTGGCCTTGGAGCCGGGTCTGCGCCTCCTGGCGAGACACCGGCCCCATATACCAGGCGGAGCGGTCCGAGGAGTCGAACCTGGCGGAGGACATGGTATCGGGTCCGGGCGGTGGCTGCTCTCGCCCGTTCTGGAAGACTTGGCGGGTTGCTCCGAGGTTGTGATAGGGCCTCTAGGCACACCTCGAGGCGCGCTTAGCGGGACGGACCAGCACCTTCCTCTGGGCTCCGGGCCCGCAGCATCCTCTGCCGGCGCGCGCCTGCTCTGGGGCTGCCTCACGGAGACAGCCGGCCCAAGAAATGCGGGGCAGAGCCCAAGGGTCTCAGCGGGAGAAGCTGAGCCACAGCGGAGGCCGCCCAGGGGATCGCAGGCTGCCCGGCGTATCCGGGTAGCTCCAGTAACTGCCCGGCTGGAAAATGCAGGCTCCGCAGCCCCACGGATCTGCACCGAGCCCTCTGTCAGACGAAGCTCCGGCCTCCTAGAAGCGTCGCGCCTCTGGGGTGCTTTTGCCCAGCCGGTTCCCAATAGCCACAGCAACAAAATGGCGGACGCGGGACAAGCTGCCGGCCACCTCCCCCTCTGCTCAGCGCTCTCCGTCTGCGCACGCGCGAGGTCCCGCCTCTCGGCGGCCGCCGGGGTCCTCCCCGTGACGTTGATCCACGCAGCCAATCAGGAGCACGATCGCGACGATCTGGGCGTGCGCTGCTCCCGCCTGCTCCCGCGTTCCGGGAGGAGGCTAAGGAGGCGGTGGCGTTGGGCACTCCCTTCCTGGGCCACACTGCGCCACCGGGGGCGCTGCGGCCGCCCGGTCTCAGTACTGGCAGGAAAACAGCTGGGGCCGAGAGAGGGAGCTTCGTTTGGAAAACCTGCTTCTGGGAACAAAGCGTAAAGTGCAAGCTGAACCGCGGGCCAGGGAGGCGTGGCACTGAGGTGACCTGGTTGGCGGAGGGAGACCGCATGGAGGATAGGTTCCACTGGGCTCAAGTGGTTCAGGAAAGGGGTGACCCTGGGGACTGAGGTGACCACCGAAGGACCTTTGGATGGCTAGGTGACCCGAGGGGCTGGTGAAGATTCGGTGGACCAGAGTAAATGGTATAGGAAGTCTACAGTCTGGGATAATCTGGCCAACTTAGGTGCTGAATTGCTGCTGTAAAATGCAAACGCTTCTTGCCTCTCGGGCGTGGCGTCTCGCCTGCTCCGGACTCTACCTGCTTCTCCCAGTTAATTTCCTCCATTCCACCCTGCTTATTCAACTAGGCCAAGCCCTCCTAGCATATTTTCTCCCTCCCGCCCTCGCCTGAATGTGTTCTGAGAAAGGGGGATCTTGTGTGTCACGTTCCCCTTTGTCTTGTCTTCCTTGCTCAATGTATGCCCCTGAGTGGACGCTCAAATATTTGTTAAATGAATGGCTACTGTGAAAAATCAAGCCACTGGTACCTGATTGTTGGTAATAACATACCCCAATTGGATAAACAAGAGGGCATGTCTCACAAGGGATAAAGGCCAGAGAAACAAATCATACTTAAATCCCTCTGCCAATGGAATTTCATTTTAGCCTTTTGTATCCTCAGGTTCAACAAATCCTAGATAGTGAGGTGATAGGTGATCTCTACCGTAGGGCAAGCCAAAGGGAAATGTGACCTGAGCATAACCATGTTTTCACCTCAGGTGCAGTTTGAGTAGCATAGAATTTGAAACACTGCTTGAGTTCAAATCCTGACTTAGTTGACTGGCTGGCTGACCATGGGCTAGTTGATTATTCTGTGGCTCATCTTGGGGATACTAATAGCACTTACTTGCGAAGCAGAAATAAATGTATTAAACAAGCTAATACAGATAAAGTCCTTGGTATAGTGGCTGCCACATGCTAAGCAGTCTTATAAGAGTTTCGCATTATTATTCACTCTCACAACCTGGCCTTTAACTATATAGTGTAAAACTGTGCATAGATCTATGAGTGGGTAAGGGTGGGGAAAAAAATTTCCACTTGATTTTCTAGCTGCTTTTCACTGCTAGATTTAGCATTTCATCATCACCCATTCCTGGCCCAACCTTCTTGATCTGGCTTCTATCCTCGCTTTGACTAGGACTAAGATTTTAGTGAAAGTTGTTAGTGATCTTCATAGAAATTATCATTCTCCTTGATGTACCTGGCATATGTGTTTAGAAAATCTCTTTTCTAGGACCCACCCCGCTTTAGCTCCTGTAACACTAACATAGTTTTCTTCTGCCTCTCCAAACATACCTTTTCATTCTTGCCAGGTGTGGTGGTACATGCCTGTAATCCCAGCACTTGGGAGGCTGAGGCAGGAGGATCATTGTGAGTTTGAGATCAGCGTGGGCTCCAAAGTGAGCTCAAGGCCAGCCTGAACTGCATAGCAAGATCCTGTCTGAAAAAGACAAAAAAAAAACCCTTCTCATTCTCTGTAGCACCTTGGTCTTTAGGCTGATAATTGTTATGAACACCTTAAAGGGTACCTCCAGTGACTCAAAACCTGTACGTTCTAAAAGTAGAACGAAAACTGACCATAACCTGTGATTATTAGAGAAACACTGTAGTCACAGCCTAAGTGAATTCTTATCATAATCTGTTAAAATTGTCTAACAGTACCTCTCCTTTCCTAATCTGAGTATTTTGAGGGGAGACTGTATTCCTAATGCCTACCACAGTACCCAGCACATAATACATACTTAATAAATGGGTTTTGATGGCTGAAATGAGAAGCCAGATAAAAATGAAAATTTAGCAAAAGAAAGGCAGTAAGGTGATTATAATTGTTTTCAGTTAACATATGTATTTTTAAAAGGTAACTTGGCATGGTGGTTTATGCCTGTTATCCTAGCACTGGTGTTGAGGGTGGGCTGAGGCAGGAGGAGTGAATAAGTTGGAGGCCAGCCTGAGCTACCAAGTGAGTTCAAGGTAGTCTGAACTATATAGTAAGACCCTATCTAAAAAAAACAAACCATATATATGTATATATATATATATTTGGGATTAAAGTTTATTAGCTCCATAGTTCCCTTTCTGTTTAATCTTGCATTTGGATTAAATTTTACATTCCAATTTCCCCTTTTCTGTCAATAGCATCACTATTTTCCTAATTTGTAAGCTTAAAATTTCAGTCACCTTTCACTTAACTGAAGAACTCAACAGTATTACCTAATTTACATGGTGCTTTTCAACTCAGAAAACTTCATAGAATCCACTTTTTTATTCACTCTAACCAATATCCCATGAAATACCACTTTGACAGGTAACCCAGAGGCTCAGACATTTTAAGCAGTTTCAAGTTACGTAATGTGCAAGAGGCAATTCTGGCAATCGTAAACTAGGTCTTTTGATTTGAGGTCAAAGTCCCATATTTCACTGTGGCAACTGCCTATAACTTAGACTATCTTCTGTTCTGCAGATATGAAAACTGAGGTTTTTCAAAGTAACTTTTCTAGCTGGGAACATGGGTAAGTTTTTTGGGATGGCACATGTCGACATTCTCAGTACTCCGGGAGGTTGAGGCAGGAAGATCAAAAAAGTTCAAGCGCACCATAGGCAATTTAGTGACTTAGGGAGACTTTGTCTCAAAATGTTTTTTAAAAATTTGGGGTTTTTTTTTTGGAGACAGGATCTCACCTTGTAGTACAGGCTGGCCTTGAACTCACTATGTAGCTCAGGTTGGCCTTGAACTAGCAGTTCTCCTCCATAAGCCTCCTGAATGCTGGGATTACAGGTGTGCGCCACCATGCCCAGTTAAGAGTTCTTTTTTTCTTTTTCTTTTCCTTTTTTTTTTTTTTTTAAGATTTCTTAAAGGTAGACTAAAATACCTCTCTGGAATAGTTCAAAGGGAATAGGATGTAGGGTAAAACAAGAATGGTCATGTGTTGTTATTGTTAAAGCTGAGTGGTGTGTGTGTTTGTGTTTAATTCTATTTTTATGTTTGGAATTTTTTGTTGTTGTTGTTTTTGGTTTTTGGTTTTTCTCCGGTACCGGGAACCGAACTCACGACTTTGCACTTGCCAAGCAGACGCTTTGCCACTGAGCTAAATCCCCAGCCCCTGTTTGGAATTTTTTATAATAAAATTATTAAAGAATCTCTACTTGTCATGCTGGTACATGCTGTTTTTTTAAATAAAAGAACTTTTAATAGTACACATTTGCAGTACATGCATTTTACAGTCATCTTGGGGAGTGGGTGCATGTACATACCACAGCTAGTTTCTTTCTCTTTTTTTTTTATTATTAATCTCCTTTTCTTTCCTTCTCCTTAGTACATGCTGTTAATCCCAACACTATGGGAGGCTAAGGCAGAAGAATCACCCAGCTAGGGCAAAGGGCCTGGGTTTAGTCCTCAATACCACACACACCAAAAAACCCCCAAAACAAAAACAAACAAACAAAAAACCCTTTTATCATTTAAACGCTTTGCCACACGAGACAAGCTTTAAAAAACCCAGAAACTTTCCTCCAAAAAATGTACCCAAATACTAAGAGACAACAAAATGGAAATGAGTGGAGACATAGCATGAAGCATGAAAGAAGGGCTGTAACGTACAGGCCTATGATTCTATCTTAGCTTGCTTATTCCCAGGTTTTCCAGGTGGTATTATACTTAGATTCCTGTTTTCTAAGATAATAACAGTGTAGATCAACCAAAAAGACTTTTTGAGTAACTTGTCTGGATTCTTTACTTCCCATCCCTGATGCTACCTCTGCAGAAGCTACAACTTTGGAACCTATTATTGACTTTTTCTTTTCCTTACTTGGGCAGGCCGAGTCCTTCAGGCAACAGTTAAGTGCTGGCATTCTTCCTAGATTGCTTTCTTACTAAAGACACAGAGAACAAACTTCTGTCCCTTCCTTTTGCCCTTGATTTCAGTAGTGATGGTAAGAATAGAAGAGGCATGACAGTGTAGATATGGAATTACATGATATATTTATTTCAGTGAATTGATAAGATCAGCAGTCCTCATATGCTCTCTATAGAAAGATTCAGTTGACCTGTTCCATTTCTATTGCATTTACTAGATTGCTTCCATTTCTTTGTGTTTCTATGCAATAAATTTTCTCTCTCATCTGTTCTCAATCATCATTCTCCCAAGTATTTTTAGTAATTTTTTTTTTCAATGCTGGGAATTGAACCCAAGGCCTTGCATGTGCTAGGCAAGTATTCTATCACTGAGACACCCTCAGAACTGGCACACAGTTGACTGATGCTTTTCTTTTTTTACTCACTGTATTACTTGCTGCTATACTACTTATGAAACAATATTCATATCCCAATTATAATTGTGTGTATGCCACTAGGGATTGAACCTGGGGCCTTATTTATACTAGGTAAGTACTCTACTGCTGTGCTTCCCCTTACTCCCAATTGTAATTTTCTGTAGCAAACTATCAATTTAATAATCCCTTCTGAGTTGGGTGTAGCTCAGTGGTTGAGCCCTTGCCTAGCATGTTCAAGGCCCTAGGTTCCACATCTCTAGTACCCCTCTACCCACCAAAGTCCTTTATTTTTCTTTCTTTTTTTGAGACAAGGTCTCACTATATATTTCAGGCTGGCCTTGAACTGATTATGTAGTCCAGGCTGGCTTGAACATGTAGTACAGGTGAGTCC